ATGTCTTGTGTGTTTTTGGTAGATAAAAAGCCTCAAGTGGAAAGGGACTGGTTCCTTCAGTGTGGCTCCTCAGATGAATGAGCTCATACTGTAGCAGGGGTCTAAATAGGGTTAGTAATTTCAGGGCCCTGGCCCCATGGGACTTTATGGCTGATCACACTATTTTGAGACAGGAACAAAATCGCCCCCTAGAGGCCCAGGAAAACCTAGATACTGAGGCACGAGAGGGAGGGCTGTGGGGAGGGAGAGAGATGCTAAGGCTTCACCATATTTGCCACTTGGATGACTTCCTATATGAGAAGCCTACATACTTTAAGCTTCTTCAGAGATAAACCTAAGGTACATCATGGTAAATGATGTTGGACTACTAAAGCACACTTTTAAGACAACATCAGTGGCTAGTGGTGCCTGATACTAGTCAAGAATACTGAAACTAGAAGAGAATATTGAGTTTCATTCTATACAAGTCATGGTGTTCAGATGTTTCAGTTGCTAACATAAAGTCAATCAAACCATGTATGTGGAACTGTATTGTAATGCAACTGTGACACTTGACAACTAAAGCTACGAATCAGCCAACATCACCTTTCTAGCTAATGTCTGCCTACACAAATGTGCAGTGTCAGGCTAATCTGTTGGCAAACAAACCAGGAGACAGTACACACGGCTCAAAAACTAACCTGCAAATGTCAAGATCAGTTAGTATGGATTTCCACTGGTGTGGATCTACTTCAGTACCACTGATGATAATGGTCAGGTGCCTTGGCGTGTTACATAGTATCTCATACCCCTGCCAGCTCAGTCAGTCAAACAAATGTTCTTAACACTTTTGGCCAATGTCCATCAAATTCCCTCATTTAATTACATATTTATAGTGATCAAGAGTTTGATTATCTCAAATGTTAGTAAGTCCATTGTTTTTTGAAAGACACTACTGCAGATACCTCCCATTGGAACTTTCCAACCAAAGCCAATTTTGAGAAACAATTCGCAGCTTCTCAAAACATTTAACAATTGTGTGTAGCTTAAGCTGATGTATAGTGGCAGTGTACAAGCAGTTGTTGGCTTGTGGTGCAATACTGTCATTTGGACTGATTAAGGAGGACAGTGTTTTTTGGTTTGGCGCTCCCTAATCCTTTGAATTATCCAGCTAATTTACAGCTGTACCAGTTTTTATAGGGAACAAGGTCACCACCATATTCCCATCTGTTTGTCTGTCTCTCTCTCACACACATGCACAGACATACACACAAATCAATGTCCTGTTGACTTCTGACACACACTCTCTTTTTTTTGTGTTTTCTTGTAGAAACTGGCCAGGGAGGCGGAGCAGCTTCAGAAGGAGCATGTATGGCAAGACGGTGTGACGGTAAAGTAGGACACCCAATCCTCTCCCTCCTTCTCCGAGACCTCTTCCTTCTTTTTTTCCTTTTCCTTTCCAGGCTATTTTATGTGTAACTCTTTAATGACAATGTGATCAGCATCACAGAGACAATGTGGTAATAAAGCCTGATTTTATACAAGTGGAAACGACACACAAACACAGTCCTACATGTACGCACGCACATCATAATTGCTTACTCTTGGAGGTGTTATTGAAATGGTCGTCAGTATTATCTAAGAGCCTTCTGTCTGTTTTGTTTCACAGGATGCAGCAAGTTGAACATTGTATTCTTGTGCAGCTGACCTTTAAAACACAAGAGATCCGCTCTTGAAATCCAAAAAAAAAAAAAAGAGAAATGTTTTTACTCTGGTCTGTGTGTTTGACGGTGTCTTTGGGAGCTTGCGTGCTCCACTGACTCTCAAATTTGCAAACACTCAAATGCCCCATGAACATGCATGCATACTGATGCACATGCACACATACACATATACAGTGGGTACGGAAAGTATTCAGACCCCTTTAAATTTTTCACTCTTTGTTTCATCGCAGCCATTTGCTAAAATCAAAAAAGTTCATTTTATTTCTCATTAATGTACACTCAGCACCCCATCTTGAAAGCAAAAAACAGAAATGTAGAAATTTTTGCAAATTTATTAAAAAAGAAAAACTGAAATATCACATGGTCATAAGTATTCAGACCCTTTGCTCAGTATTGAGTAGAAGCACCCTTTTGAGCTAGTACAGCCATGAGTCTTCTTGGGAATGATGCAACAAGTTTTTCACACCTGGATTTGGGGATCCTCTGCCATTCTTCCTTGCAGATCCTCTCCAGTTCCGTCAGGTTGGATGGTGAACGTTGGTGGACAGCCATTTTCAGGTCTCTCCAGAGATGCTCAATTGGGTTTAGGTCAGGGCTCTGGCTGGGCCAGTCAAGAATGGTCACAGAGTTGTTCCGAAGCCACTCCTTTGTTATTTTAGCTGTGTGCTTAGGGTCATTGTCTTGTTGGAAGGTGAACCTTCGGCCCAGTCTGAGGTCCAGAGCACTCTGGAAGAGGTTTTCTTCCAGGATGTCTCTGTACTTGGCCGCATTCATCTTTCCTTCAATTGCAACCAGTCGTCCTGTCCCTGCAGCTGAAAAACACCCCCATAGCATGATGCTGCCACCACCATGTTTCACTGTTGGGATTGTATTGGGCAGGTGATGAGCACTGCCTGGTTTTCTCTACACATACCGCTTAGAATTAACGCCAAAAAGTTCAATCTTGGTCTCATCAGACCAGAGAATCCTATTTCTCATAGTCTGGGAGTCCTTCATGTGTTTTTTGGCAAACTCTATGCGGGCTTTCATATGTCTTGCACTGAGGAGAGGCTTCCGTCGGGCCACTCTGCCATAAAGCCCCGACTGGTGGAGGGCTGCAGTGATAGTTGACTTTGTGGAACTTTCTCCCATCTCCCTACTGCATCTCTGGAGCTCAGCCACAGTGATCTTTGGGTTCTTCTTTACCTCTCTCACCAAGGCTCTTCTTCCACGATTGCTCAGTTTGGCTGGACGGCCAGGTCTAGGAAGAGTTCTGGTCGTCCCAAACTTCTTCCATTTAAGGATTATGGAGGCCACTGTGCTCTTAGGAACCTTGAGTGCTGCAGAAATTCTTTTGTAACCTTGGCCAGATCTGTGCCTTGCCACAATTCTGTCTCTGAGCATCTTGGGCAGTTCCTTCGACCTCATGATTCTCATTTGCTCTGACATGCACTGTGAGCTGTAAGGTCTTATATAGACAGGTGTGTGCCTTTCCTAATCAAGTCCAATCAGTTTAATTAAACACAGCTGGACTCCAATGAAGGAGTAGAACCATCTCAAGGAGGATCAGAAGAAATGGACAGCATGTGAGTTAAATATGAGTGTCACAGCAAAGGGTCTGAATACTTATGACCATGTGATATTTCAGTTTTTCTTTTTTAATAAATTTGCAAAAATTTCTACATTTCTGTTTTTTTCTGTCAAGATGGGGTGCTGAGAGTACATTAATGAGAAATAAAATGAACTTTTTGATTTTAGCAAATGGCTGCAATGAAACAGAGTGAAAAATTTAAAGGGGTCTGAATACTTTCCGTACCCACTATATATATATATATATATATATATATATATATATATATATATATA